TGCTGATTTCTTCAAAATCAAATCCTGCTACTAACATGTCATCAAAATATAGTAGAAGGATAATAAAACTTGACTTAAACTTCTTGAAGTAGCAGTAATGGTCAGCGTTTCACTTGTTGTAGCCATGTCGCTTCATAAAACCATCAAACTTCTTGTACCACTGCCTCGGGGCTTGCTTCAAACCATATAAGCTTTTCTTCAACTTGCACACTAGTTTCTTTTTCCCTTTGACTGAGAAACCCTTCGGTTGTTGCATATAAATCTCCTCCTCAAGGTCACCATGGAGGAAAACAGTTTTGACATCTAACTGCTCGAGGTGCAACACTTCTGCTGCAACAATGCTAAGAACTGAGCGAATGGTACTTAGTTTCACAACCGGGGAAAAAATGTCTGTGTAGTCAATGCCTTACTTTTGCTGAAAGCCTTTAACCACCATTCTCGCATTATATCTCTTGGAACCATCATGTTCCTCTTTCACCTTGTACACCTATTTGTTGTGAAGAGCTTTCTTCCCCATGGGCAACTTGGATAGTTCCCATATTTTGTTAGAGATAAGGGACTTCATCTCATCTTCTATTACAAGCTCCCACTTGCTAGCATCTTCAACTTGATATGCTTCATCATAACATTCAAGCTCACCATCGTCTGCGAGCAACATATAATCCAAATATTTCCTATTCGGTATATGAGGTCGCGTAGACCTTTTGGGTGCAGGCATAAGAGTTGGAATTTGCGGTGAACTATGCTCTGTGAGTTCTGGCCAAGAACCCTCATCTGTCTGCTCGGCATCAATGCTCTCTGGATCATCATCCAACTCAACAAACTCAGGCTTACTCTGTACAGGACTAGTTAATTGTGCTACATCTCTATCCTTGTACATCACCTTCTCGTTGAAAATCACATCTCTACTTCTGATGATTTTCTTGTTCTGATTATCCCAGAATCGATAACCAAACTCATCTCCGCCATACCCAACGAAGATGCATTTTAGTGACTTAGGGTCGAGCTTTCCCCTAGCATGGTCACTAATATGCACAGAACAACCAAAAACTTTCAACCATGAAAGATTTACCTCTTTGCCACTCTATACCTCTTCTGGTATTCGATGCTCCAAAGGCACCGATGGTCCATAATTAATTAGGTAGGATGCTATATTGACTGCTTCTGCCCAAAACTGTTTAGGTAGACCCGAATGTATGCGCATGCTTCTGGCTCTTTTTGTCAATGTTCGATTCATCCGTTCTGCCACCCCATTCTGCTGTGGGGTTCCTTGCACAGTCCTCTCTAATTTGATCCCATTATCAAAACAGAACTTTTTGAACAGTGTCTTCATACTCACCACCATTGTCTGATCTCAACCTCTTGATCTCCAAACCTATCTTATTCTCCACCACGGCCTTCCACTTCTTGAACACATTAAATACCTCAGATTTGTGCATCAAAAAATAAACCCATACCTTCCTCGTGTGATCATCAATAAAAGTCACGAAGTAGGATTTTTCGCCAATGGATGAAATAGTGGTTGACCCCCAAACATCTGTGTGAATTAACTCAAGTTTCTCCTTTCTGAGATCTCTGCCACTCTTCTTGAAACTGACCCTCTTCTGCTTGCCCATCACGCAACTCTTACAGAAGTCAATATCAATTGCCTATATGCCTGGTAGTTTCCCCTTTGAGTGCATAATCTTGAGCCCCCTTTCACTCATGTGACCTAGTTTTTGGTGCCAAAGGTTGTGATCTTCTCTATTTTCTACAACTGCTATAGACCCACAAGCACTGGTAGTTGTATAGAGAGTGCCAGATTTCTTACCACGTGCGATGGTCATAGCGCCTCTGGAAACTTTCCACGAGTCTCTATTGAAGGTTGTTACAAAACCTTCATCTGACAATTGTCCTACCGAAATCAGATTATTCCTCAAGTTAGGGATGTGTCTCACATCCTTTAATTTCCAAGCTAACCCATTTAACTTGATTTGCACTTCACCTTTGCCAATGACGTTGCAAGGCTGATCATCACCAAGATATACCTTACCAAGGTTACTCGGTTCATAGCTATTAAATAGCTCTTTGTTTGAGGTGCCATGAAACGATGCGCCAGAATCTAAAACCCATGACTCCACCTTGCTCTCCAAAGAGCATATCAATGCATCATCTGATTCTTCTAAGACAAAGTTTGCTTCAGTTTTTCTTTCGGTTCCCTTCTTTGGAAGTCTGCAATCAACACAGTAATGTTCCTTCTTTCCACAATTCCAACACTCAACGTCATTGAGATATGTGGAATTCCTAAAATTTTGAGACTGTGTTATTTCATTCCTTGACTTGGATCTGCCTCTTTTCTATTACTGTTGCCCTTCTTCTTGTTTGAACCCTTGCCTTTGCTTTCAACATTCAACGCCGAACCACTGGTGGAAACCCCTGTTGTTTGCTTTCTAATTTCTTTAGTCGAAATCATGCTCACAACTTCATCAAACTTCAACTTGGTCTTCCCTGCAGAGCTACTGATCGCTGTAACTGTGCCACTCTAACTCTCGGGTAACTGCCCTAGAATTAGCAGTGCTCGAACCTCGTCTTTGAAGTCGATATCAACAGACTCTAATTGCCTAACTATCTCGTTGAACGCATTTAAATGTTCGTTGAACTTACCACCTTCGACCATCTTCATGTTGAACAACTTCTTAATCAAGTGCACCTTGTTCGCTGCGAAAGGCTGTTCATACATACTAGAAAGGGCTGCCATGAGAGACTTCGTCGTCTTCTCGTTCTTGATATTGAAGGCGACTGATTTTGACAATGTCAATCTGACGGTGCCAAGAGCCTTCCTATCAAGTAATTCCCATTCTGTATCCTTTATACCCCTGGCTTCTCTCCCAAAGGTTGATACACATTTTTCTGAAACAAGAGGTCTTTTATTTGCATCTTCCAGAAACTGAAGTTTGTGCCATCGAACTTCTCGATCATGGATGTGGATGTCTTATCTTCTGATGCCATTACTCGCACTCGAATGGACAGATCTGATCAAAAAACTTTTAGAATTTCGTCAAACACCTTCTGTGCCCTAGGTTTTCAACCAAAGGCTCTGATACCAGTTGTTGGGGCATAGCGGAAGCAAAAGAAAGAAAGAAAAACAACAATTCAAACCACAACACAAGATATATACGTGGTTCACCCAAAATTAGGGTTACATCCACGGATGAGAAGAGATTCGCTATATATGTAGAGATAGTACAATAGTAGAGAATTTCAACACCGGACCACGCACACAAACTCTTGACCGAGTTCACAATCAACTGGATTTGATACCAATTGTTGTGGCGGAAACGTGTAACAATTATTGTATACTTTATTAGGGTTGGTTTTGATCGAGATGGTCTACTTAATGGTTTTCAGAGGTCTGGTAGAGAGAACTTGCTCGTAGGGTTTAACCCATAATTTATTTTTCAGGTTATTAGAAGTTCTAGTCTCGAAGTTGAGGATCCGCAGCTGGAAGACTATCATTCATCTATTCTGCTTGTGTACTTTTATAGTTGATTGGATTATTGGATAATATTTTAAGGGGTCCTTAAGTTACGGGATTCTCGAGTTGTAATTGTTAGAGAATTATTAATTAATAAAATATTTATTTATTAGTTTTCTTCAGCGAATTATTTATTCTTTATTATTCATCTTTGTATTCTGTGCTTATTTAAATACTTTAATTGTTTTGATATCCCCTGGTTTTGTGCGCGGACTTGATCAACACGTGTTCCAAAATCAGAGGGTATCACATAAAATCTATGCAAACCCTCCATTTGCCATTCTTCTTTTGAACTACCACCACGTTGGATAGCCATTGTGGGTAGTACACCTTTCGGATGAAACCTGCTTGAAGTAATTTATTTACCTTTTCAGCTATAATTTGGTTGCGCTCTGGAGCAAACCTTCTGTGCTTCTGCTTGACTGGTTTGTATGCTAGATCCACCTTCAGGCTATGGTATGAGACTGAAGGATCGATCCCCACCATGTCTGAATGCTCCCAAGCAAATGCATCTGCATTTCGTCGAATGACTTTAATTAATGCTTCTTTTTCTTCTGCTGTGGCGGAAGAACCCATGTAGGTGATTTTCTGTGGATCGCAGATGATTACCTCGACAGCTTCCAGAGACTCCTCGGTAGGCTTTTCCGTTTCGGCCTCATCCTCTGCTCTTAGATACTTGGGCAGAGGATTCTGTAATTGCTATTTGGATTTGCTTCCCGGAGGTGTGATCGGTTGGGACTGTTTCACTACCTTCTTTGTCTCATTTTGTGTTAACATATAGCACTCTTTGGCAGCTACTTGATCTCCCCTGAGGTCTATGACCTCTTTCCCGTCTGGAGACAAATATCGCATCACCTGGTGAAGGGTAGATGGAACTCCGTTCATTTGGTGGATCCAACCTCTTCCCATAATAAGATTATAGGAAGGGTGGATTTCTGTTAAGACAAAGTTTTCCTTCAGTCCTTTTTGCCGCAGTTACGGATAAGTCAATCATCCCAAGGGGATCCACTTTTATACCATTGAACCCCATCAACGGGCTGGAGGTGGGCCAAATTGATGATGACGGGATCTCTAGTTGTTCAAAGACCGCCTTTGTGATGATATTGGCACTACTCCCTGGGTCTATCAAAACCTTCTTAATCATGCAATTCACCACCAGGAGATTGATGACCAACGGATCTTCGTGGGGAAGTTGAACTCTGGATAGAACTCTATCGCCGAACCCGATGTTGATGCTTCCCGAGGCAATAGTGTTTACCAAGAATAGCCTCCTAAGCTTATGGGTTGTTCTTAGTCGGGATCTATAAACCTCCTCTGACTCCTGATCATCTTCCGATCTTCTATGTATCGCATGGATGACCTTCACTTGATTACCTTCGACTCTCTGAGAATTGACCTCCCGAGGCTTCACGTACTCCTTTGTTATAAGGTAATCTGCCAATTCACCCCTCAGTATCATGTTTTCCACCTGTCGCCTAAGGGATCTTCAATCATTGGTCGTATGCCCATAATCTCTGTGGTAAACGCAGTGCTTAGTCTTGTCTCTCTGTTCCAATGCTTGCCTTATTGGCTGAGGGGCTGCAAACTTCATTTTGTTCTCCTGGAATAACCGAACCAAGGTTGTGCGAAGGGGCGTGATTCTTTCTTCTGTCCTTTGCCCTTTTTTGGGTATTTGAATGGCTGGTGCCGAAGTGTGCTGGCTTCTTCGGCTTTTTGAGCTTAAAACCTTTTCCTGAGGCTTGTTCTCTACCATGATAAGGGTGGCATGTTGAGCTCGGTGGGCCATATTCTCCTCTAGTCGGATGTAGATCTGTGCTCTGGCATTGAGAGTCTGCATGTCCGGAGGAGAATACTTAACCAAGGACGTATGAAACTTGGTTCCCTGAATCATTGCAAGTTTGAATGTTTCTATTGCGGTAGCAAGGTGGCAATCTGCTATTTCCGAAGCTTCCATATTGAATCTAGACAAGAAGTCTTCTAACGTTTCGCCCTTCTTTTGCCTTATAGTAAAAAGGCTAGCAATACTCTTCTTTTGCTTCTTATTACCGCAATAATGCGTCAGGAATATAGCGCATAGAGTTTCGTAATCCAGAATAGACTTGTGCGGCCTATTCCTGAACAACTCCAGCTCAGCCCCAGTTAGACTGGTCGGGAAGACTTTGCACATTCATGGGTCATTGTGATCATCCAGAGCCATCTTTTGCGCGTAGTGATCTAAGTACCGGGAAGGATCTCCTGTACCATCAAACTGGGTAAAGGAAGGCATAGTGAATTTCTTGGGTCTCTCGACGAGGTACACATCGTCAGTGAATGGAGTCTTCACGAGAGAGTTCCTATTTTCCCTGGCCATCTTTGCGGGCATTTGAACTCTCAAGAGTCTCTTCTCATCAAAGACATCCTTTACTCCTGCACCATCTGAAACACCATTAGACCATAGCGTGAGTTTACGGCTGGATTCGGCCTGTTCATCATGCGTGCGATAAGGAAGATTGTCCGAAGCTACCGTCTCGGATTTGGCCCTTTGGTCTTGCTGAACTTCCGTGGGCCAAATTTCACCAATCCGAGCCCCATTGACCTGAGGATCGTTTTGATTGGGAGGAGGCGCAGCTCCGTTAACTGGTGGTGGCCAAACTTTATTGGGCCGAACCTCATTGCCTTGAGGCTCGTTTTGGTTGGGAAGAGGCGCAGCCCTGCCAACTAGTGGTGGCTGAGATGTCAACTGTGCCATAGCCGTTTGAAGGGTGTCGTTCTACTGTTAAAGCAATGCAATTTGGGCTACGCTAGCTTCATTCACCTGACGCAGCGTTTCGAACTGGTGCAAGATCTCTTCTCGCATCTTTTGCATCAACTCCATCTGTTGATCTGCTGCCATTAATTCTCCGTTCGACATTCCGGATCGTGGAAACAAAAACAACTTGAAACAAAAAGTGGGAGTATCTTTCTACATGCTTCCCATAGACGGTGCCAAAGTGTAGGTGCAAAATTTCTTTCTATTATAATAAATAAAAAGAAAAATACAACTCACTCAAAAACAAGCAACAATAAAACTCAAAATAAGTATATAATGCTTGATGATTTTATTGGAGGTCTAAGCCTCTATTTATAATAAATACAGTTGTGGAATTTTGGTAGGATTCGCATGGCTTGTCCTTCAATTCATTCCATATATGATTTTCTTTACATCTATAATCCTTTCCTTTCTACAATTCTTTCTATGTTGAATTTTCCTTGTATAGAACTTGCTCTCTTTTGTGATTCCATGGCTTAGCAGGACATGACTTCCCTTTACCAAGATTGGGCTGAACGTGGGCTTGCCCCGACGATTCAGCTGATGGGCCTGGAGTTCGCCCTTGGTATAACGGGTTGTTGCTGTCTGGGCTTAGAAATTGGGCCAGGTGGCTTGGGTCTACAATCGATGTAGGAACCAAGGCCTTGTCTGGGCTTGCTCTGGACTGGGCTGATCTGATTTGGGCTTGGTACCGATTGGGTCATTGTGGTATCTGAATTAATTTTGTAGTGTGACGACGTGGATGATTATTACTGGAAGGGGGATTTTTTCCCTCCACACCTATATTTTAGTTTGGCAGAAGCAATAACAATATCTATATTTTGTATTATATTTGGCAAAATATTTGACAAAGCTATATTTTGACAGCCCATTTAACACCATTGGAGAGCCTATGTTAAACCCACCTGCTATATTTTGAAATTGGCAGCCCATTGGAGTTGATTTTATGTGTTGAATTTTGTGGTTTAAATTGAGGTTACCCATTACATCACTCCCTACATCATCACCTTGCCAGCCAAATATGTGTGATGAACAAGAGTTCTTAGTCACCAAAAATGCGTGGTCACCGAGTTGAAGCAAGCCTTATTACTTTGATCAACACATTGTTTTGGTGACCCATTTTTTAGCTATAAATAGCCCTGCTCTCCATTGTGTTGAAGCATCCAACAATTGAGTGTGAATTTGCTCAGTAAAGAAAAGTAAAGTATAACAGTTTGTGTGTAATTGAGTTTTGGGTGTGAGCTACTTAGTCTTTATATCTCGTTATTTCTATAGTGAAATATTGATCTGTCTTCTCCCTGTAGACGTAGACATAACCGAACCACGTAAATCCTTATCTCGTTTGTATATACGTTATTTAATTTTTTCTTATTATTTATATTTCTCTTTATTTTCATAAACTCCTATTCGATCCTTATTTTATATCATCATGTCATCAATTAACTCATAGGTGACACGGAAGGTTATATATAGGATGCCCATGACAAATAGTATATAATATAACTATAGGATAACAATCTAGATATAGAGGTCAGCAAGGGCAAAAACGTACTCTTAATTTCATGTTTTAAGCATTGGACACAAAGTGTGAATCATTGCTTGAAGGATTACCGACGTTAAAAGGAACATCTTCTGGTTAGTTGGGTATGCTTGTCGCAACCATATAGAACAGTGAAGAAATGTGCAACTAAATGTGCAATATATAAGTATAGGGAGAGCTAATGTAGGATTATATATAGGATGCAAAGTGCAATTATGTAATAACAATCTAGATACATAGGTCAGCAAGAGCAATATTAGAAAAAAGAAAATTTAACATAATAAATTGTACAGTCGATTAGAGAGGATAAACAAACACAAAATTATAAAAAAATGAGAAACAAATTGAGCGCATATATCTATACATTAAAAGAATAAATAAATATGTTGGTTCACGCCATTGAATTGGTTTATCAAACCAAAATTTTGCAAGATAAATCTTGCATGATGTGATTATACAATGGAATGGAATTCTCACAATTCCAACGGCAACAATATATAGGAATAAAACAAATGAATAAATTAGGAGCCAATGAAAACATTACTCAGTCTGGTCTATGTGGAGTTTATGTGCTAGAAGGGTATGTATGGAAATTTAATGTTTGATGTTACAATTATTTTTCTTTTTCACAATGTGGTGGTGTATATTTCCAAATATATGTCCAACTTTTCTCTTCTCCCAGTCAATTATTAATTTTTATTGCGCCAAGCAGTATACATTCAATAACATTTTCAAGATAAGAATGCAATTACTCCATTCTAAAGAAACAATTTTGTATGGCTCCAACAGAAAAGATGGATAGAGTAAACAAGAATACCAAGAACTATGCGAAATAAATAGTATATAATTTAAAGTAAAAAAAAAAAAAATTAAAAACAAACATGCTTCTAAATACTACCATACCATAGATTTGCTGGTACACGTTAGCATACCCAAAAGAAAAGAAGGGCTTGGTTCATGTTTTCTTCATTGCTGAGGTGGGACAATTCAGATAGAAGGCAGTTGAATCTTCAAATCATAATTAAAAATTGGAATGATGGTGTAATCTTCCAAGTCGAAGATACCCAAATCATGAGAGTTTTGGGGGAATTCAGCATCAGGACAAGTGAAGTAAATACAATTCTTGGCCAAAGCAGGGAAATCAGAGGTAGAGAGAGAGACAGAGTCATTAATACCGACAAATAATGCCGTGTCGCCTAAGCTTGGCCAGAGTAGCCACTCCTTGTTAACAAAGTCTAACTTATACACATCAAATAGAAAGGTCTTTCTTGGGACGGGTTGCAAAACGGTAGTTTCCATTGTCACCAATAGAGTGATCAGAAGAGTACCTAACAACCATCAACAAGTCCCCCGAAGACTCCACTAGATAATGATCACGGGCTTGCGTTGGTGTTGGTCCATTGTGGGGTGTTGGTCCAAACGAGGTAAATGTGAAATGATAAGAGTATTCTTCGGAGAGGCTGGGTTGCGGAGATCCCAAGCTTCTACAAGATCATAATCCGTGGACGGGGCATAAAAATTTTGGTCCTTGCTGAAATATATGAGATCTTTGTATGACTCTGCTGGTCCATCTAAGGCAGTCCATGCAGTGTCCCCAATTCTGCAGAAGGCCAGTTCGGATTCCCGGTAGCCTTGGATGGCCATCACAGTGCACTCAGAGGAATATTTGTTAGTATTGTTGATGTCTTCACTATGATGATTGGAAGGGAATGGGGCCGGAGCTGAAGACAAAACAATCTTCTTAAAGAAAAGCTCTGCATTCAGATATTGAGATGACATAGGCGAGAACCGACTCCAAATCGTGAACTCGTTAACAATATTAGCATTATTTATGGATGACGATGAAGAAGAGGAAGGAGAAGAAGGGGTGTGAAAATTGGAATTGTAGCGGACACATGAGACGATAGAAGGGAGGGTTTGGATAGGAGGGAGGGGGAGGTAGGGAGATAAGAGTGGATGAATGGGTTGAAAAGGTAGAGAGAGCAATTGCGAGGGTGGATAAAGGCGAGCCCGCCACGAGACGAACCGAATCAGATGGCCTCGTCCGGAGGTAGTATTTCCCTTTGCCATGGAAGCATCAGCCTAAGATTCTTCCTCATCTTCACCACTTTCTTCTCACCAAGGCTAAAGAACTGGTAGTAATCCCTCTCCTCCTTCATTCTTACAAGCTTGTACCTTTTGCGTTGAGCAACCAAACCAGACCCAGCAGGTAGCATCAGGCACGGTGCTAATCCAACAGGGAGGGGTCCTCGTGCTTCCTCTTTCTCAACTACTACTACAGAAGAAGAGAAACAACATTGGTTCAACGAAAAGGTTGCACCTTTTCTCAATACTCCCACTGATCTGCCTCCAACACAAAGAAAATACTCCGATGATCGGACGGGAGAGATAAAACCACCACCGCCACATGCGGAGTGGTGAAATTTGGCCGCCGAATTGGAACATTCGGACCATGTTTTTAGTATAGACCGGCGGCAATGCAGCATCCGATCGCCACAACTCCTCCAATTAGCCATATCTCTCTTCTCCTCGACGGCGATTTCACTTGTTCTTTTCTTTTCTATCTAAACAAAACCTAATTACTTCTCCGCAATTTCACTTATTATTCTATTTCTTTTTTTTTTTTCCTTGGAAATTGAGTAAATAAATAAATACCTTACAAAACCAAAATCAAAGCTATAAACATCGCGTGAATGAGGTTGGGCTCCATGACTCCTGTTTTTAAATTTTGACAATTTAGATTTGTTATGTTATCATTTTTAAAGAGTTAAATCATTATTTTCAAAAATTAGGTTAGCACTTTAAATTATCTAAATTTTTATTATTTTATTTCGCTCTA